AACTCGGAGCGTGGGTCTCTCTTGCCCCCAGCAACCCCGCCTTTCCATGCCCTGTCTTCCCATCCCTCCCTTGTCTGCACCACCCCTAGGCAAAATATTGCTACTTCACGGCAACAAATCTGGTCCCTTTTGAATATATTATTTATTTTCTTTGACTGAAAGACAAGAAGCCAAAGTGATTTTGCGCTAAAAAAATTTTTTTTAAAAGAAAAAAGTGTGAGCCTTCAGACTGTTTTGGTACATTGTGATCTGACCATTAATCACCCACATGAAGTTTGTATGCTTCATATAAAAATGTTAATTCACCACTCCCTTAAACCTGCTACCACTTCTTGCCTTCATTTAGCAGGAGATAACGGTTTAACCGGAATACTTTCTGGAACGCTAAAAAGTATCAAGAGTTTCTTCTCTCTAGATTCTGGATTTATTTGCCACATGACATTCCTTCTTACTGCAGTATCTAACAGTAACATACTGGCTATTTGATCTCAGAAGACTCTTAAATGCATCTTTTATGTTAAAATGGTCTGGGATTTAGGCCTAGCATTAATAATGGATAGCAGTTGCTTTTAGTTATTGTAAAAGTTTTAAAATTTTTTCCTAACAAACTTCCAAAGTTCCTATTTTAGTAACTTGTGGAAGTATGGAATGAAACTTTTCCAACCACTTTTGGCAAGGTTCACAATTGCATATGGATAAGATGCAAAGTGTAAGATAATTTGAATGAGTTATGACTACAGTGAAAATGCTGAGATTCAAAGGCTGAAGTTCTAGCTGGCAAAAGTTTGCAACACATAGGACTGGTTGATAATACCAGTGTGCTGCAGTAGTGGGGAGGGACCTTAACAGACACATTAGCCTCTTCTCCAGTCAGCTCTCAGTAGAGAAGTTTATATTTTGGGGTGGTGCATATATGAGGATACCTATGTATCCATGCAGGCCCAGGACATAGTCAGGTATTTAACAAAGTTGGATTCTCTTGGTTCATGAGCTATTATCAATTAAGAAGTTTTTTTTTAATATAGTTGGCAGTGTGATGAATACATTCAGTAGGCCTTCTTCTGGAAACACCACTAAGAGAAACGGTTACTTAGTGTAACAGTTTGTGAAAAAAATGTACACTAAATAGTGAATGAGAGCCATATATTTTATGAGTTCTTCTTTTAAAAATTGATTTACAATTTATTTAACTTGCTGGAATATTTATAAAGCTTTAGAGCCAGTTTTAAAAAGAAAAACTTAGGTAGTTTATTGGTCATTAAAGAAAGTACGGTAAAGCAGTGATAAAAAGTACTCTGAATGGAAAGAATAAACTCCATATATGTGTATGCAGTTTTATAAAACTTTATCAGGAAAATGCCAGACATCTTATTTTAATCCATGTGGGCATATCATAACCAAATCATGTACCTGGCTGTGAGATGATAACAGTAGAAATTTATAGGTGAACCTTTGCAAGAAGTAGTTCCAGAAGTATCAGCATTCTGTAGTTCTGAAACTTGGCTTACTTACAAACACATCAACGTTGAAGATGCTGATTCAAAGTCCTACCGCGTTTGAAACAGGTTTTCAGGTTTGTTTTTATTGGTGGCCTGTAACTTTCTCATCGAGCACATACGTAAAATATTCTTTGTATTCTCCTGAATATTTTGAAATATTATGTAGCTTATAGTGATATGTGCAGCAACATAATTTATAAAGGCATAGGATTTTTTTTTTAAAAACTCATTTATGCTATGCTTGGACATTTCCTGCAAGTTAATGATATTCTTTAGTTTTGATGTTCTGGAGTATTTCTAATTGTGCATTGAGAAAAATAACTAGCACTTTAATGGTTCATGTAAGTAAGAGTTACACAAAACGTTGTGCACTTTTATTGGCACATTCTTAAAACCTTTGGGGAATAATAACTTATAAATACTTTTGATGCAAAATTGGGGATTTAGATTATCCTTAGTGATTAGTTGACATAGTTGGCCTCATTTAAGGATTTTTATGATGAGATATATGGGCATTTGGTTGGCAGGTAAACAAAATCCTTTTGAACACGAATGAACGCAGTTCCCAGTTCTCTGAGAACCATATTGGGAGTATCTTCGAACACTTAAATGACACATTAGAAGATTTATTTTAACTGTTTATTATCATTAACAAAGCTTTTTAAATAAGACAGCATTTTGACATAAATATGAATTGTTAGGATCTCAGTTATTCTTCGCATTATAAAATGGGGCTGAGACTTTAAAATGAAATCCTCCTTTGGTGAAAGCTCACTTTGTAGTTAAGGTAGACTCCAGGCGTTTTTGCATAATTCCACAGAGCCTGGTCCCTAGCATGTCCTGTGTATATAAGAAAATCAGTCAATGTGAACGACTGTTTCAAACCCCCAATTTATGTATTTTATAGCATTTCAAGGATGAGTTCAGAATTTAGTAATGTTTAAATGCTTTGCTGTTTGGCGTATACCTTACTAGATAAACTGTGACTTGAAAAATGCTCCCCCCACCCCATTTCTCGCTTCTAAAGTATAGCAATGGGAAAGATTCTCAAACACCAGACTTTAAAAATGCTAATAGTTTGTGGTAAAGGATAATTGAATTCTTGTATTTTTTCTGTTTTCTCTCCAGTTAAAGAATGCACACATGTTAGGAAACTCTTTTGGAGTCTTTTATTGAAAAAGAGCAGTTTTTCAAAGCTCAACTTGAAATACAGAGCCTGAAATTTGTTCAGAGAGAAAAAAAATAAATGTCAATTATTGAAATGATTTATTATGTATTATATTAACATAAACTTTAAAAAACCCATCATATGTAGTGTTTAGATGATTGATTATAATTTACAATATTTTAACAGGCCTGATTGTTAAAATATTTCACTAATTTTAAGCACTCAGTTTACATTTGAACATTAAAAATTAATAATTGCTTTAATAGTAGTAATATTTTGGACAATTACTCATGCCTCCAAAGTATAAATTTAGATGGATATTAGAAACCGAGAAAGAATGCGTTTTAGAATATTTGTCTGTCCAACACCCTTTGAAAAAAAGTCATCAAATATCTCTTTGGTTTTCTTATCCTCATTTATTTGAAAGTAAATAATTTATCTTTTAGGGGGATTGTACGGTGGAAAGAAGTTATGTAAGATTAGTGTGGGTTGGTTAATCAAAAGTTAGATGGACTCAGAAAGGTTTGTGGAGGTTACTGTTTAATTTTTCCTGAATTTTGTATTTCTGTTTCCTAACAAAATGTCAAGTAAAAGAATCAAACATTTTTAATAAAACAGTAAGAAAAATTTAAATGTTTTAAATTCAATTTTACTTTTAAATTACTTGAATTTTAAGAGGCAACCATGAGGGTTTTCCTGGAGTCTCATAAACATTGAATATACCAGGTTTCCTGTTTCCCTGTGAGAAAAAGCCTGAAATACTATTTTAAAAATTTAAATAATTATTCTGGTTTTTAGGGATGATTATTATTGAAGGTATTTCACAATCATGTCAGTAAATTAAATGTATTTAGTTACAACGGTGTTGTCACAGTGACACATTCTGTTTACTATCTGGCTTGTATGCTTTTCTTTGTTTTTTCTTTTTTTTCCTTTTTGTTTCATTTTTATAGTATAAGCAATTATGTCTTAGACATAGATCTTTTATTTTAATCTGATGAATATCAAATTCACCTCTTCTTTTGTATACGGATCTGCCACATTTTTCTAAGTTTTTGACGAAAAAAATTTGTGTGTAACTGTCACACTTAAAAAGGAATTCAGATGTTACCAAAATGACTAAGAAACAAATCAGAGCCTACATGCAGTATTTTTAGAGGGGAAAGTCTTTGTTTTCATTGATCGTGGAGATGATTTTTGCTCCTAGACTTCCATAAACATTGACTGGCATCTAAATGTTTAGGATTTGCCAATCTGGCGGCCGAGCCCTGGCTGTACTACAAGTAGTGAGGTCAAGGCTGGAGCAAAATTAGATATGCCTTCCTTGAAATAGGGTTAAGATTGTATGTTGTTATAACCATTTCGATAAACTTCACTTCCTAACTAAAGGATTTGGGATGTAGGCCCGACAGTAGAACGTGGTACACTTCGGTGAACATACCAAAACAGTTTTTAATTTTTAGCAGTTTTCTTCTTTGATATTGTGAGACGTGATACTGATAGTTTTTTCCCCCATCAGACTTCCCATAGGGATTCCATGTATGATTTTGGTAACATAATGCTTGAATCAAATTTCAAGTGAAATAAGGGTTTTTTTTCTTTTTTTTTTTAAGGTGACCATCTGAAGAAATGTTGCTTCCTTTTGTTTTCATTACAGTTACATTTTTTGTTTCTATTCATTTCCCCAGGATGAGTTTCATCCTTTCATCGAAGCACTTCTGCCCCACGTCCGAGCCTTCGCCTACACATGGTTCAACCTGCAGGCCCGAAAACGAAAATACTTCAAAAAACATGAAAAGCGTATGTCAAAAGAAGAAGAGAGAGCCGTGAAGGATGAGTTGCTAAGTGAAAAACCAGAGGTCAAGCAGAAGTGGGCATCTCGACTTCTGGCCAAGTTGCGGAAAGATATCCGACCCGAGTACCGAGAGGATTTTGTTCTTACAGTTACAGGGAAAAAGCCTCCGTGTTGTGTTCTTTCCAACCCTGACCAGAAAGGCAAGATGCGAAGAATTGACTGCCTCCGCCAGGCAGATAAAGTCTGGAGGTTGGACCTTGTTATGGTGATTTTATTTAAAGGTATTCCGCTGGAAAGTACTGATGGCGAGCGCCTTGTAAAGTCCCCGCAGTGCTCTAATCCAGGGCTCTGTGTCCAGCCCCATCACATAGGGGTTTCTGTTAAGGAACTCGATTTATATTTGGCATACTTTGTGCATGCAGCAGGTAAGTACGATGGGGACAAGTCGTCCCACTTGCTGGCGTGGGTTTCTTTCCTGACGACCTCTGTCTATGCTGGGACATTCTGGGACGCCCGACGGCAGGCTGCGTCCCCGCCGACAGTGTGCTGTCAAAGGTAGACCAATGGCAGAGGAGCCAGACGCTCCAGTGTTGGAGGGTCCACCTTCATTCAGGTGGAAAAGCATAGCTTTGAGAGAATTCTCGCCAAGTTCAGTTCGGGCAAGCCGTGTTATCAAAGGTGCTGGTAGTCAGTTATGGGATATGTTTAAATCTCATTTTTTGATGAGGGCTGAGAAAAGCTGTGTAAAAACCTTCGTAATAAAGAGCGTATTTGAACTGGCAGGTGATCTAGTTAAAAGGTATTTAGTTTGGTAGTGAGGCAATATTTTTAGTTGCTTTTCTTTTGGGAGTGTTTTAACCTACTGGGGCCACTTGAACCCTCTGCTAATTAAGAAGAGGTTGGAGGTAAGATTGCTATCAAATTGCTGATCATTTATGAAGGAAAAAAAGTCACATTAATACGCAAACTTAGTGGCTTTCATTAGGAATGCTTGGCACTGTTTAAGAAAGCTAAGGGAAAAAGAAACCAATTCTTTAAGTAATTGATGGAGAAGCTAATCTTAAAAGTAACCAAACCTGTATGGTTTGACACATGAACACATTGCGAAATCAATATTGATAATTGATTTAGTGAGCTGCTTTGATTCATAATGAAATTATTGTTTCAAGGCGGTTTTCAGGCATGTTTTACCTGTTCATATTACAGCATGTAGAGTAGCATTCAGGATAATAATATTGAGGGCTGGATGAAATAGTGCATTTTCACTTTGTTCCTTTCGCCTTGTTTTAGACAGAATGCTCATTGTGTGATGTGAAAGCTCATGTCTTGTGTAACTTGCTGACTTTTTATATGTACATACTGGTCTCGCTGGATTACCTTCATAGCACTTACTTGAGCCAGATGGAAGAAAGAAGGTGGTGGCGTCCTACCAGTAGGTTGTTTTGGGGGTCCACATATGTATGTATTTTTTCACAAAGGAGAGAAAAGATGCTACCTGTAAAAGCGACCCTGTATTGTTTGGCAAAACATTTTTAATTTTAAAAATGTGAGCTGTTTTTTCAAAGCAGCCAGCCGATAGCCTATTCTCTATTATTCTCAATATATGTTTTAGGAAGAGAACTTTTGTTATCCATCTGTCCTTACATAAGAAACTGGAGAAATTTACTTTGCAAGCACGTCACATCATCATTTGCATTCTGTTGGCAGGGGATGGATGAGTATTTTAGAGGATGTGATCTGTAAGTGTTTCAAATATTTGGGTTTTTGAAAATGTATACTTAATTATAAGAAGCGCCTGTTGCTTTAGCCAGTTCTGGGTAGCGAAAAGGAAAAGGCCGCACCTCTCTCCAATGACCTCTAAACAAGAACAAGTGGCCCTTTCTTAACCCCCTGTTGACCATATTGTTGTTACTTCATTTTGTCTATTGAAAAAGCAGGGTGACGATTTTTTAAAAATTTATTTGCACATATAAGTGGAGATTCTTCTGGGGCAAGGTGCAGAAAAAGTGTGAGTGTTAGAGGGGCTTTCAGGGAGTGCTCTTTGAAAATCTTGTGTTTAATCTCTTCAGTATTTGGAGAAGTAAACAATTTATAAGCGATAGTAAATGCTCTAATGGACCAACGTAGGAAATGGCAGGTGCCAATGGGTGATGCCCATCGTGGTATATGCTTCCTTAAGGGGTAACATGGAAATGAAATACCTGTTACCGTTAATCGGTGTGAGCAGCATCCCTTCTAAGCTTTAACTGTGAACCTCTCCGTCAGATTCCCCGAGATGCAGGCTTTCTCGCTCTTGCGGCCGTTTCATCCAGGATGTTCTCTTTCGCTGTTGGGTTTGTGCCTGTGCTGGGGCTCCACATCCTAGAGGCATCACGGTTGCTGGTGGTTTCAGTGACCTGAATGGTGATGTTGGTAAAATGGCAGGGAGAAGGTTGCTGAGGAGAGTGAGCATCCTTATTGCTTATGAAAGATTTATTGACAGCACCGTGGATCAGACTACCTTTCGGTTCGGTTTTCGTGCGTCTCCCAGAATCCCTCGGTCGCCTGAACCCCGGCCAAGTGCAGGCCATTGGCTCTGCCCGCGCGGCCCTGGCCGCCTGTGCGCGCGGGGCCGGGTCCGAGGGGACGTGCTCAGGGCCTTTTGTCTGAAAATATTCCAGATTTGATTTAAGAGATTCGGAGACCTGTTATTTGTGGAAGGGAAGCTGCCAATACAAATAGGAGGTAGATCGGTCCACTCACATACAACTGATTTGACAAGCATCTGTTATAATACTGAAGATTTGTAAACACTAAACAATGTTTTTACCTCCTTAAAAGTTTTGAGAACTTGCCAATATTGGCAGGAGGCAGAGACTCTGAAACGTGCTTGGAGAAACATGCCAAAACCATCGCGGCCGTTTCACCTATAGCCTTGTTTTTCCCCTCTCCCTTCTCTTTCTTTCAAATGTTTTTTTTTTTTTCTTCTGAAATGCCTTTTTTCCCCTCCCTTGATGGCCACAGAAAGATCTTTTTTTCTTTCTGAAAATGCATACAATAATTACTGCTTCATGCCTCGGCCTCTTCTTTGGAAGGAAGTTGAAATCTTAGAACACACATGTAAATATGGGAAGCTAATGCAGAATCAATCCTTCTTTAAAAGCAGAGGTGATTTATTCTAAGACTTACTGAGACGCTAAAATACAATACATAAACTGCATTCCTTTTCTTTCCCCCCTGTAAATCCAGGGGCATTAGAACTGTGTGAATTTTGTGGCTGATAAACAGTGTAATGGAATCGGAGTGATTCCATAAGCCTGAGAATTTCATCTCGTTAAAAGTATAAAAGAGTAAAACCATTTTATGCCCTGAATTTGGTCTCTATTGGAGCCGTCCTTCCCCTGGATCATAGGACAACTTGGAGATATTATGGTATTGCGGCAAATGGTTTTCTTTGTGGGCGTGTAACAGTAAAGCTAATTTATGGCCAGTCTTTACCAGATGATCTGTATCAGAATCTACAATATACCCGGCACGTGGCAAGGTCACAATTTAAGTTGTTAAGGTCATAACCTTAGCCACCAGGCATTTGACCTTTTAGATAAAGTTAACCTTTGTTCATTAGTAGGCACTCAACCGAGAACTTTCTGGAGAGTTTTTTTTTTTTTTAAACTGCTTCTGTATAACTTCTGGTAATGTAATCGGATTCTAGGAAGATTCTCAGTTGAGTTAGTTAAATTTTGTAAGAGGTTAGACTTTTTAAGGGCTCATCTCTTGGAGAGAGGTATGTTGCTGTATTTAGGCCATAAAATGACAGTATCACAATTTACTTTTCATAGTTATTATCTGCTGGGGGGTAAGAATGAATGCTGAGGCAGCTGTGTAGAGACATTTAAAAACCAAAATTAAACAAATAGAATTATGTTTAATTCAACTTTGCTAATTTTCAAGTGGCCTTAGGCCCAGAAGCTAAATCACAGTGAGCATCTTCACTTTTTTGCAGATGAAAAAATCTCTAAGGTCGGAAATATTTTCAGTGGCTTTAAAATTCACTTTGAAAGACTAATAAGTGACCAGAAGTTGTCAGGTAGTTGCTGGAATTGTCAATTAGCCAATGACAGAGTGAATTGAACTTGTCCTAATGGTAGCAGTTGTAGTTTAGTTTTAAGGTACAAAGTGAACATTTTTGCAATATTGTTTTAGTATAGTAGTTATTGTACATGATTACCTCCACACTCCTGTTACCGCCTTTACTTAGTGTTGCTTGGACCCTGGATAGTAAAGGTCCTGTCACTTACTGAAAGAGCTGTGGCAGTGTCTGGGAAGTCTGGTACCTGTCCTGGAACCCCGACGGGGGTATTACTGATTACCACATTACCTGTGCCATATTGTTCACTTAATTATGCTGTCCTGAACGCTCAGTTTAAATTATTTACGTTACTGCTGGTTTTGCTCTGAGAGGCCATGTATTATTCCATTTCAACAAAGAGAGAGAGAGACAGACTCCCATTCAGGTGCATTTTAGTTTTATTTTGGCTTTGTGATTGCCATTCCTTCATACAGTAATAGAGAAAGCCGTGATATGCAGATAGACCAGATGGTCATGTTGACAGATTGAGAATTCACTTCCTACTGCTTCAGAGCAGGTGTAAGATGAAGAGTGTCTGTGTATGAGCGTGTGTGCGCTTCGTGTGCATGTGTGCGCACACCCAGGCTGCACACAGAGTGCTGTTTAGAGCAGTGGGAATGATTTCTTTTTTTTTTTAAAGCTGGTGCTTTAAATACAGCGTAACTATCTGTGTAAAGTTATCAGTGCATTCAGAAAAATAATTGTAAAAATTTTAAGTGAGTAATATTAGATTATTACAGTTTATAATTTTATGCCAAATTAGTTCTGATAATTTTTAAATGTTTAGGTAACTTACCAAGTTAGTTTGTGGCAGTAGTACGTATCTGAAATATATTCAGTACGCTGTTAACAAGCATTTGTGTGTACATGTGTTTACACACAATTCTAAGACTATACATTATGCAATTAAACTTCTTTAGTACCTCAATCAACTCTCTAGTAGAAAGTTGTGCGGTTAGCACCTGTGATTTATAATAATAAACTGTATTTGTAAAAAGCAGGGGTAAGACTAACATATAGTGATATTTAATGAAGAGAGCAAGTACCGCCCTTTCTCAAATTCTGACTCTAACCTTAAACTAAACTGAAGGTGGATTTTGTGGCTGATTGATCTACTGTAACTTTTTGGTATATATGCACACCGTTTTAGAAAATTTCACTGATCTTTCCGTTCATCTTTGAATTCTCTGAAGGAGACATAGCATTAACAGTCAACAAACTTGAGATTAAATATGGCTTTTACATCCTTGAGTGTTTTCTGTGTAACTGGGATTGTAACAATGTCCTCTGTTTAGAATGTAGTAGCAATATCCTTTA